CTCGAATTCAGGTGTTTCAATGGTTTCTGCTTTTATGAGTTTGTCCAGTTTCTTCCAGATCTGTGGATCATTATGCTGATAGAAGTCATTGTGGGTTGTTGCATTGATAGTTAATATTTGCTCTTTGAGACTATTGATAACAAATTTACGATCTTCTCTTTTGTCTGTTAAAAATTTCTTTTTGAGTTTGTTTAATAACTTGATGATCGGAGGTCTTTGTCTTTTTTTTGCTTTTATGGTTCTTGTTTCTAATGATTGTAATTTTGCTTGAAGAATGGAAGAGGTTAGATTGGTGATCTCTTGATCAACTTCTAGAGGTGTTTTGAGTGATGATATCTTGTTTTGATTAGGTATGAGGTCAATAATCTTTCGTAGAAAGACTTCTTTGTTTAACTTGTTAATGGTAGTTTGTTGGAGAGAAAGGTTCTGAGAGGTTGAGATCGTTAGATCAAGTTGTAGACATTTATGGTCTCGATCCAAGTAGATAAATTTCTGTTGGTAATTTGAGGCTGAGAGTTGATTATTGATAAATATTGCATCTATCCAGGATGTTGTTATCTGTGGAGACTTCGATATTGTTGAAAAAGTTTCATTCTTGTAAGTAAAGTTATTTTCATCAGGTTTGAAAGCCACTTTCATTTTGAAATCTTGTACCATATTCCAAATCAAATTACTTGTTGTTCCATTCTTGTCATATCGCAATTTATGTGACCATTCTTTGTGATCACAATTAAGATCACCACTTATAAGACCAGGTAGATGTTTGACATGTGAGAGGCTTTTTGTTAGTCGAACAATAATTGGCTCTGTTATTCTTAGTAATGGAGGAGTAGGTAGGTATATTGAGGATATAAAAATTCGTGAGTTCCCTATTGTTAATGTAATTATTGTAAAATTATCATCTTGAGCTATTAATTTTGGATTATTCTGTTTCATTGTGATGATGGCTGTATATTTACTGGTGAAAAAGGCTAAATTTTGTGAGGTTATTTCTATTGAGTTTAGCATAGTGTTATTGTATTCTTGTAATGTATAAACTACTTCAGGTTCTAATCTTGTTACATTAAAAATTTCAGCTGTTTTGTATTGAGATTTCTGACAGTTTTGATTAACTAGTTTAAACATTAAATTGAGTATTTCTTCTCTCTTTAGTTATAAGCTTAGATAGCTCTGAGCAGTTCTTGGAAAAAGTTGGGTGATTACTGTCTTTCTGTTTTTTCTGACATAGATTACATTTCTTACTATCTAGAGGAGTAAAAGGTTCATTTTTACAATCTCCTTTTTTATGACCTACTGTCCAGCATTTAGTACAAATTTTGACTATATAATGAATTTTATACCTAACCGCCTCTCCATTATAAAACAACAGACCTTTCATTGATAGTTTTTGAAGCGTTTGTGGTGACAACTTGTAAACTAATCTTACTAAGTCCAAACCTTTGGCTGATTTAAATTTCTTTTCAAATAGTACTTTAATTTCATCTTGCTCATCGAGGCCATTACGAGTCTTGAAAGAGTTTTCATCTTCGTAAGTTTCACTTCTTATTGTAGCCCTTATCAGAGGATATTTCTTTCTTTCTTTTTCAATTTTACATTTACCACCAATAGTAGAATGAATTGCTTGAGTCTTTTCCATAAAGTTTCTTTGCGCGGATACCACTTTGATTGAGTTTCCAACCTTGATCATATCTTGGACTTGTAGACTTTTATCTTTATTGATCATCTCAGTCAACTCAGATGTTACAGCATCGAGATCTTGATCTTCATTTGGCTTGAAGAATATCGTTTGTTTCTTTGGTTTTTCTTTTACAATTTCAGCGAACGTCTTTGGTGAGGTTCTTGTGTTGAGATTTTGATCTTTAAAGCTCTCTTTGATAACTTTAATATCATCTTTTATCACCTTGAGTGTTTGTTGAATTTCTTTTTCCCCTGGATTTTGTTTAGTTGCTTCCAAGTTGCTTATCATACTTCTAAACATTTCCTTGATGACTGTTGTTTGTTGCTCAATTTTCCGTTTCTCATGTTGCTTGACATGAATCATGAGTTGGTCATAAATCAAGTTGAAAGAATTCACTATGAAGTCAGAATCAATTTCCTTGCTTGTTTTCAACTCTTCCACATGGTCCAAGGTAAACACGTTTGTAGTCAAAATATTGTCCATCCTTATGGAATGATTTTCTTTATCTATAATATCAAGAGACATATCGGATTAAACACTGAATCAATCTCTATTGATTGTATATCATTTAATCAATATTCACAATTAATAAAGTATTAATTTCACTAATTAATAATCTTTCTAATTCATGATCGCCATCACATGACATGCGTGCATTAGAAAGAAAGAGGATTCAACATGATCCGATTAAAAGGCGATATTATCGCTATCAGAGACTAACATCGATATTTTCAAAAACCATATCGATGAATGAGGTGAAAATTGTACTAAAATGATCATAAAATTAATATTTCAAGTTGATTTAAAGTAATCGGAAAAACTTGATGAATATAAACCTTTACACACTTTCAAAACATGATTGGATTACTTACTTTTTTGGTAAATGTAACGCATTAACCGTGGCTGTTTCTTTAGTTCTTTCAGTTTTGATATTCTGAGATTTAATACTCAATTTGGAATATAATCTCCATCATTCAGTTTCACTCAGATCGAATAAATTGGCTTTAAACTCCATTGAATTTATTTCCCTCGCAGAGACAGCTATTAATTGATGTTGATTAACTTTAGTTAAATTATTTTAGTCAACTAACGGTTACCGCCGGTGACCGTCTAATAACGCGGTAACGCCATCTAATATACAATTTTGTATCCTCTTCCGTCGAAAGTAAAGTTTTGGACGCTAGATGGAGGTTTGTAACCAGTTGAACCTAAATGGTTCAAATCAATGCAGATTATATTAAAATAATAACAATTAGTGATTAATCTGTTGAACTATTTAATAAGTAAATTGCTCGGGACCTTTATTTCAACCTTTGGCGTGGTTTTAAAATCTGTTTGGTGTCTTCAGTGAAAATATTTGCAGATATTTCAATAGATAGTTTGGTATCTTTATCAGTATCTTTTTCTCATTTGATTCAAAACACTGCTTTCATTGAAATTTAGTTTAAACATTCAACGTGTTTTTTCACTTTATTTTTCTCCTGTTTTGTTGTTGTGAATTATTCTTTGTTTTGAATTAAAATTTGTCCAATATGCCAAAAACAAAACCACGGATTGACAAAAAGAAAGGTGTTACTTTTAGACTTGTCCACAGAAGTCAACATGATCCTTTAATTGCTGATGAAACTGCTCCTCAACATGTTTTACAAGAAGTTGTTGCTTCTAAAGAAAAAGAAAGTCATAAGGAAGAACAAATTAAATATGGTATCTATTTCGACGACAATTACGATTACTTGAAGCATTTGAAATCAAGGGATGAATTCGATCGAGAATGGGAAATGGTTGAAGAAACAAAAAAGACTAATCATAAATTGAAACTACCATCATCTGTTTTTCCATCTGTAATTGAGGAGGATGAAGGTATGCTCAATAAAGCTGCTCCTGTTAGTGGACCACAACTTAATGTCGATCCTGATATAATTGCTGCCATGGATGATGATTTTGATCTAGAAGATCCAAGTAATCAGCTCACAGATGATTATTTGACTGAAATTTTAGAGAGTGGCCTTGTTCAAAAGGAAGATAATGAATCATCTGATGACGAGGATTGTCAGCCCAATTATTCAATGTCTAGATTTACTAAGGAACGGTACGTCTACGATGATGATGAAGAAGGCGAGGAGGAAGATGAAGACACTGAATCTATTGATTCTGAAGATGAGGGATCATTCTGCTTCGAAGAAGATTCAAACGACAAAACTTTGACTAAAGAAGAAACAAAATCAGTTTTCACTGAATACTCTCTAACGTCTTCAGTGTTACCGCGTAATGAAGGACTATCTTTGATTGGTGAGTTTTTATAAGTTACTGTGTTGCTTTTAACCATTTTTTCTAATGTATTTCATTTACTATTTAAGATGAAAAATTTGAAGCCATGTTTGAAAAAGAGTATGGAAACGATATGGATTTGGGTGCACTTGATTTGGACGATATTGAAGGATCTATAAATCCCAATAAATGCCAAGCTTTAAAAAAATTGATACAAGACGAGGAAGACTTGAAACAAGTGAAATTACTGTCAAAAGATGATAAAATTAAGACTTTAACTTTGAATGGTGAGGAGAATAGCGACAATACAGACACAGAAAATGACTTGGTCCAATTGGAGATTGAATTAGATGCTGGTAAACACGGAGAAAGACTTTACGACTGTGAATCAGTCCTATCAACTTATTCAAATCTTTACAACCACCCTAAATTAATTCGTACTGAGCGTTCAGCACCCAAGAAATTAAACATAGATCCTGTTTCAGGAGTTATTGTATCTCCAAACACAGGATTAACAAAGAAAAATCTACGAGAGCTGGATGTAATCAACGATTCTGATGGTAAAAAATCAGGACCTAGATCCAGTTATTCCAGAATATCTAGAATAAGTGAGCTTTCTGAAAGAGATAAAAATGAATCTCCAGAAGAAAGAAAAGCTAGAAAAGCTGCTTTCAAAGAAATGAAAAGAGAGAGGAGAATAGAAAAGAAAGCCAATCGAACCGCGTTTAAGATGGAAAGTGATAATCAAAAACGAGATATGGTTCATCTGCGTAATAATGTAAATTCCATGAAATTAATTTAAATAATAAAGGATGAAATTTTATTTGTTCTGTTAACTTTGCTAAATAAAAAACTGAATATATTGACGCTCCTTTCTCAATAATTTTTTGATCGGCCATTACTATGAAGATTATGTCGAGTCAGTGTGTTGAGTACTAAAAATTTGTCAAATGATTTTGACGATGTTTTCAGAACTTATTAGATCTCAAGCAAATAAAATGATACATATTAAATAGTATTAGATAACATACACGGAATCTTTTTGTTACCCAGTGAATTTTTCTTCTCACAGCTGAGTGCAACAAGCACAGCAACATTAAATGTAACATGCCTCAGACGCAAAAAATGATGCATAATCTCGCGTCTCATGAAAATACTTAATTTTTAGACGAATTTGAATGTCGCGCTTCTTGACCAACAGCAATGTTTTCGCTTACGGTCGCAACCGTTGCTAGCTATTTTCATGTTAGCTATATCAATGAATAAATGATTCTTTATTTTTTAAAGTCAATTAATATCACGATTTTTCCTTTAATTACAATGCTTAATCATTGTTAACTTGAAACATTTTTTAGTCATCTTCAAGCAACATACAAGTAAATTGTTTCATTTAAATATGGTGAGTATTTTGTCACAATTCAACCTTAAAAATGATTCTTTAGTACTTCATATGATCAATGTTTAACCTTTTTTATCGTTCTCATCCTTAGAATCTTACATCAATCATGGAGATGACATGTTTCTCATGTCAATCAGTAATGGACGATGAAAATTTATTCATGATTCATAAATGTTACGCCTTATATTGCACCAAATGTTCAGCCAGTACAACATGTTCCCAGTGTGATAAGGCCATGAACGATGATTCATTTGTCCAGATACCATCAATATCGAAATGCTTCTATCATTTTGACTGTGAATCTTTCTCGGATGGCTTTTGTAGCTGTGTTGGCAAAAATTTATGCGAAAGGCACATAACTCAAGTACATAGAGACATTGTTAAAATGCCATGTAAACCTGTCTATCACGATTCTATAATGAAAAAGCCAACATGTGATTCATGTGAATTAATGAAAGCAAAATATAAAGTAAAAGAGAACAATCTACAAGTTTGTATCAACTGTGCCGCTAAATTGGATGATGCAACTTTAATGGAAATAATGACTGAATCAAAGGAGATTCATGATACATTGGAACACGAAACAAAAGCAACGACATGTTTATTGAGATCCATGGAAGCTGAATATAGCTGTTTACGGTCATCTTTGACTGATGATCGGTCGCGTTTAGATGCAACACTCAATCCAATTTTAAGATATTTCAATGAAAAATTACAAAAGAATCAAGATACAATTGATCAAATGGAATCAAAACTCAATGAATCAATCATCAAGCTGGAAAGATATAATGAAAAGAAAGACATAATATCACGTATCATTGAATATCTAATGAAATCGAATATTGACAATCTAGATGACATAATGCAACAAGCTTACTCGTGGGTCAAAAGCCTTACAAATGATGTAAAAAGCCTAAATCTAACATTACCATGTAATCCCATCAAGATTATCGGCTCGATTGATGATTTAAGTAAACCTGATACACGTTTAACTATTTACATTGGCCATGATGAAATTCATGATTCGTTTTCCAGTCACTCAAATCATGGACTGACCGATGATAATTCATTAACTGATTATGCCGAATCAACCACAAAAAGAAGACGATCAGGGAATACTTCCGACGAAATAACACTCGATGCTTCATTTGTTTCAGCGAATTCACTGAATCTCAACCAAGGATATGATGATACTTGGATTGATAAAGAATATCATGAATTACGAATCACTCATGTTAGAGATCCATTTTGGATTTATATCGAGAAAAAAGAAATGAAAGAACAAAGAACAATGATTCTTGATATATGTTCAAAGCTCAAAGATGATGACTTAATTGACATTGAGGCAGTTCGAGAGGGTGATGTTGTAATAGTGAAAGATCACCCATCATTCAGAGATCCCATAAAACGTGCGCAAGTTTCATTCTTCAATTATGCAAGACAAAAATACAAAGTAAAATTATTGGACTTCGGTAATAGCATTGAAATTGAAAAGAAACAAATGTTTCAATGTGTTCATGACATACTCAAATATGAAACTACAGTATTTCGAGCTAAACTCATTGGAGTGAAACCAGTATCAGGATCATTTTTTTTGACAACAAATAAGAATAATTCAAAGTATTTCATTACAAGATCTCTCGTTCCACAAAATGATACAGCTTTAGTTCGGAGATTCACGTCCGATTCAGACTCATTTTTCTGTGCAATCAAGTCAATTATCAATGGCGCATCAATTGACTGGTCTGTTGCTCTCGTAGACGCTAAATTAGCAATGATGTATAACGATGAGAATAATTCACCATTATGTTTTTTTGAATCTAATAATTATTGTTACTTGTATCATTTTTATGATAAATGCAATGGATTCTGTGGACGTTGGCATTCTTGCTCATTTTGCAAGAAACAACACACTCTCAAATCATGTCGTTCTTTGGTTGAACATGAAAAAACTTTGTAAGAAATACGTTGCATAATCATGACGCAAATTTTATTGATGGTTCAATTATCAATTTTTTTTTCATTTCATATATCATAACATTCATTGATTCATGTAATTCATAAAACTTTTCATTATCATCAATTGTATCGTAAACATGAATATGTTTCAATGTAATCATTAAATCTGTTTCTTTATCAGAGCTTTTCAATACCAAATTGTTTTTTACTATAAACTCATTTGTTGAAATGATAACTCGTTGATCCACAAAATAAATTTTCATTATTCTCAAAAATTTGTTTCCATATTTGATACATGAATTGGCTCTTGCTCGTTTTGAATCATATTCAAACGTTGATATTGATATCTTCGACGTGAAATAATGATCAGATTTTTTAATATTATTTGCATTTTCAATTCCTATGCTTATTAGGAAGATTTTCAAAGCTTCATCCATAATGATTCTTTGACCATGATTTCTTTTCTCGGTCTCATTTAACTTGAAAAAAGTTGCTTCTTCATGATTCATGTTTTGCTTATTCATTCCAAGCTTTTGTGTTTCATGAGTCAAATGTATGAGATTCATATTCATTAAATTTTGAGCAGTTGCAGTGTAAGTTTTTATCGATTTTTTCATCAAACCCATCTCGTTTTCACTGGAAAATGCTGATGTTTCTCCACATGGTCCTAAAGCTTGTACGGATTTAGGTAAATGAATCAAGATGTGTGCATTGTATGTCATGAAATCTTTTCCATAAAGATCATGAAGTTTTCGTTGGAATAAAGAAAAGCATCGAGAAGATGTTTCAATTCTCGCAGCATCGATAGGACCGGTCATAATTTCCATCAATCCTTGAGTTAATAATCCAAGATGTGCGATATATTTACTCGGTAATAATCCATCAAGAATCATTGGAAAATAATAGATCAAAAATGCAGCGAACTCATTAGCTTTCCACATTGGATAATGACTCAATTCTCGCGGTGGTCTTGTTATCAATTTTGGAACTTTAAGACTCTTCATTCTTTTATCTATGATTCTTATTATCTTGCTTTTTCCTATGAAAAATGCTTTATTTTTCAATTTCGTATTCAACCATCCTCTTTTAATCATGTCTTTCATGATGCCAAGAAAAATACCATGCATAATATCGACACTCATTCCCCAAATAAAATCGTAATGTTTGAGATGCAACATGGGAGAAACATATTTGATGTGTGATGATTCGCTCATTTGTGATGAGTTGCCACATAGATGAGAAACATAATCTTGTTTCGTTCGTAATAAATTCTCAATATCTGATAGATCTTTATACATGAATTTCATTGACCCTCTGGCAAAACTTTGACCCTCAATTTTACACCAGTCACATCCATATTTTGAATTGAACTGTTTTGTTGACTTGATATAAGCTCGCATTGGAGCATCCGCTATGATAGCAACTAGACTGAATTTGTATGATGATTTTTGACCTGTTTTTTGACATATGAAATCAATTGATTTCGATTCAAGATCTTTTAATTCTTCAATCAATGGCATCAAAAGTGTTCTTGACATCCTTGGTTTTTTTGGTCCATGAAAAAGCGTTGAAATAAAAGCAAATTTGTACCGCATATCAGACTTGAGTTCATTAATGATTATAATGATTGGTAAAACAGAAAGATGACTTGACAATGAACCAGGCACTTCATCTATCATCATTGTCAAAGTGTAATTTCCATGACCTCTTGCTTTTTTGGCTAGAAAACATGTTGCAATATCTCGTCCATCATCAAGCATCAATTGTTCTTGAGATCTTATAAATTGATTGATCACTGGAAGATAATTTCGTAAATATTCACGCAATGATAAAGTGATGAAGTATGATCCATTTTTCAATAATGGAACTTTCAAGACACCTCTGCAGTCATAATGCTTGAAAGATCGTGGTTCGCCAACATAAGGTCCATGAGCATGATCATCATTACAGATGAACCAATAATTTCGGCTGATTTGACTCGTAACATGATTCCAAAATGTGTTGAAGTTAAATCTCTCAAAATCAGTCACCTTATTTTGTTGCAAGATATTTGATGCACGTGAGACATC